ATTCCAACCTTGAGTAGTGGAATCTCAGCTATCTGGTTTAGACCTGGGAAATAGTGATGATGGATCATGTAAAATTCCACCCGCAGTACGTGGATTAGGTTCTGGTTGAAGGACATACCTGTTGTGGATGTAGTGTGGTTCCCCCACTAGGGTGCTAATCTTCTATTGGTATGCCCAAGATCTGTGCTGATGCATTCTGCATGGATGATGCCCTCACCAGCCCCTCCACCTTATCAATGTGAGATTCTACCTGTAGTCTGAGAGGAAGTAAGTATGTTCTGTAACTTAACATTTTCTTAAGTTGAAAATGTATTTCAAATAATACTTACCTCCTTTCACACTCACCCACCCTTCCTCCCCACTAAGAGCCAATGTTAGAGACTGCATATTGAGTCAGTCTCGATAAAGTGATAATATTATCTGAATGAGGTGCTTATATACAGTACCAGGTTAGAGGGCACATTGATGTAGGTGGAGAGTGTCACATGACAGATATTGCCAAGGGCAATGGAGAATAAAAGACTGAAGTAAGCAAGAAAAATTCAGACCAATGCTTAGATGGGCAAAGAAAGGAAACCATAGCAGTCAAGTAATAGTTGTAGTGTGAGAGGAGGTAAGTATTATTGGAAAAACATTTTCAATTTAAGAAAATGCTAACTCAATAAACTCACTCAATTTTTGTTTGACTAACATAAATTTGCTTTTTATATATAGTTCAAATTGTTTTCTGAACTTTAGAAATAGTTCCAGACATTAAGGGTGTGCACATCATATTAAGTACAATTGCTTTCAGTTAAATGACAAAACAAGTTTCTAAGAAACTTCTAGGTTAGAAGCATAGGCTACAATACTGAAATTGATCTGTGTACTGAAACAGATTTTTAGAATTATTATACTAAACAGTGTTTTTCCTGTGATAAATATATATACTCATTATTAATAGATAACTTCATTACATTCTTTTTTTATGTTTTCAAAACTGTTAGCAAAATGATTTTTTTTTTGTCTTTGCAGTTGATCTAGAACCTGAATCACTTCCTGGAATGCTGCTTGAATACACTGAAGTTGTTATTTCTCCTAAAATGAGAGATGATAAAAGTCAGTCTTTTTCTAATAATAATGCAGTACAAGGGAATTCAACTGGAATATCCTATTCTTTGGAATCTAGTAAAACATTTACTAACAGTTCAAATTCCATTGTACGCCCAACAGATTTAACATCGTTATTAGAAAAACCAAAAAATAAGGCAGATAACGGGAACAGTAAAAATCATGATGATAAACCTGTAGAAACTTTATCCAGTTCTGCTTCTGTACGTTCAAACCTTACTCCTTACAGGCATATTTCAGTTTTAAGCCTGTTTAGTGATTTGGCAAAAATGGTAATGTCTACATATGGCTCTAAATACAGTTCATCTATAGAAAACTTAAAAGAACTGGAGGTTCCTCACAAGAAAGAAAATCTACCATTCAATTTAGACATGAGCTTAAGGGTGGTTCCTTATAACTTTGAACCAGATTTTAAATTGAAACAGAATAATGATTCTGTCTTGCTGTTTTCTCCATGTTCTGTTTATCTAAGTGAAGACAGTCTGAAACAACAATATCCTTTCATATCAGAAGTTCCTAAAACATTTATTGCTAAGCTCTCAAAGATTCATACACCTGAAGAGAGACATGCTTATCTTTTCCACAAAAGTAAAGAACAACCAAAGAGTAGAAGACAAGAAAATGAAAAATCCCAGAATGACAAATTATTGCATCCCACAGAAGAATTTGTATTTGATTCTGCAAATGTAAGAGTATTTGTAGTTTCAAAACGAGGAACTAGAGAACAGGAGGAACTTCATCGTATTTTACATTTTTCTTATTGTATGAAGCAGTTAGCTATACCTGATTTACTTAGGAGACAATTAGGGTTAGAGGTAACGAGTGTAGTACGTCTTGAAAGTGTTAACTACCTGGCAACCCATCCTCGATTTCTTTCACTATATCCTCAATCCATGGTAAGAAATTTTTCTGTTTTATTTATCTCATGTAAATATTTTAGCTGTGGTTAAAAATCTAGATGTGCATGTATTGTTCTAGTTGAAGATATGAAAAAGTTAACAAAATATTTATAAATTTTAGTCATAGGTAATTGAAAGTAATAGCTAGCTAATCTTTTAACCCAGCTATCCAAGTATGCTGTCTATGGCTCAGCAGTAAATCTGAGGGCTTATAGTGCTAAGAATTAGATTTCAGTACCTGCAGTGGTCAGAGCACAGATAGCATATTGTGTAGTTTTGTGCAAAATTGAGTTTCCTTTGGAAAGTTTGGTTTATATTTAGAGAGAGTTGACTTCAATTCTCAGCAAATATAGAACTTTTGAGTATTAACCCTTTCCAGATGGGTCACAGGTGAAAGGCCATGTCATCTCGTTTGTTGACTCGTTTTAAAAATTTTAATGAACTACTATTTCATTAATTTATGTCAATAAGTTTGGTATCAAACAGTAGATTATAATTCAAATTTTAGTACTATATATTACTCAGTTTCTTAATTTAAAAGTAAATATAAAAAAAACACATATAAACATTGATTTTTGTGTGTCA